TATTCATATCAAGTAGTTGAACATACCTGTTGTTTTCACTATCACTTTTATCAAACGCGTTTTTTTCATCGGGCGGCCGCCCGTTTCTTCTGACATCACTTACGCTTTAAAAAACTCTAATATGCTCTTCGTAAATATCAATACCAAAACTAACAACTAATTATACTTATATTTTACAAGAATCAATCACCAGTAAATTCACAAAAACTATAATACGTCCACACACCTTGACTAACGAATTCGAACTGATGATATTTTGTATATATAGTATTGTTACGATAAATATGACTCATAACTGTAAACATATTATTTCTATTCCATTAAAGTCTTTTCTAAATTCTCCGACCCACTAAAAACCTGTCTGGTGTTCCATTCTTTTTGACAAGGGTCAGGAAGGTCGACGTCCTTCGAGGGGACGCCGGATATATATATATATATATATATATATATATATATATATATATATATATATATATATATATATATATATATAGTCCGAAAATATAATTGTATCGAGTTTAAATTGTAACGCGGAAATAAATAGTGTGAAATAAATTAGTTTAATATTGTATATATAAATAAAGACAATAAATTAGATTTATAATAATAGTACAGTGTTGTCCAGAAGTGGAATCTTTCAAATAAATTGTGAAAATGGCGGCGATTTGTGAACTCACACTTACGAATTTAAGAAGACATCTTGAGGACAGAGAATTAGCTTTTACCGGAAAAAGGCTGATTTAGTCCAACGACTAAAGAACGCTTTGAACGAAGAGGATTTGGACCCAGAAAGTTTCTGGTGACATCGCACCATTAGAGAACAAAGTTTCTGACGATATTTCGAAAGTTTCTGGCGACATCGCTTCTTTAGAAAACAAAGTTCAAGATTTCTTCTCTGGAAAGCAAAGTTTATGCTAACATCTCTAAAGTCACTTCTGAGACGTCTGCCCTCGACGATAGAATGTCTTCGTCAAAAAGCCAAGTTGTTGCCGATAGGTTGGCCTTCGAAGAAAAGATGAAAGAGATGGAAAGGAAGATGGAGGAAACAGGAACAGCAGAGAGGAAACAATCCAATTACAGTATAGACAAAAGAAGACGAGACGAAATGTAAGTTGGAAACAGGGCCGAAATTTGATGGAAGTGGAGGTTCTGTGCATGTTAAAGTTCCAACTTTCGACGTAAAATCGTCATGGAACAACTACATGAAACAGTTCGAATCAGCTGCAAGAGCGAATGGATGGTCTGAAAAAGAAAGGCTATAAACCTGACTAACGCTCTTCGAGGAGATGCCTTAGATGTGCTTCACACCATACCCGTAGAGGAGACCGATGATTTCGAACAACTCAAGAAGAGGTTAAATTCGTGATATGGCCATGAACATTATTCGGAGCATGTATAGCAGTTGCAGTTTAAAAATCGAAGACAAAATAGAGAATGAGGTAAATATTGCCAGATTACTACGATATGCTTATCTGACAGCTCCCGAAGATATGATGGAAAAATTGGCCATTCAAACATATATTGATGGTCTTCGTGATCATGAAATGCAGAGGACACTGCGATTAGCTCGTCACAAGACGCTGGTTAATGTCTTATCCGCGGTCCTCGAATACAAGTCAGCTAGGCAGGCCTCTGGCGGGCACAGTAAACTTAGAACTGTAAAAGAGGAAAGAGATGAAGATAAATTTGACCAGCTCGTTAATATGATGAAAAGTATTACATACAAGAAAACGAAGACCATAAGATGCTGGAATTGTGGCGAAATATGATGTGTACGAACTTCATGTAAGCACCCTAGGTACGACGCAAATCAAGAAACTCACCATGAGGAAAACTAAAACTAATCGGCCTTAGGGGGACAGCTTTGACCCGGAACTATTCCAAAGACCCTCTCATACTAATAGCTTCTTTGATATGTCGTGAAGATAGTGTATATGTAGATGAAGAAATAAATGGTAAAAGGCATACGTTGTTGGTGGATACATGTGAAAATGCCAACATTCATGGAGAAATCCAGGTACAATTAGGAATTGGAGCAGAAAAGTTCGTCCATACTGTTATAGTTGCTGACATCGAAGAGGATGTTATATTAGGAATGGACGTAATGAATATGCATGGATTCCAATTGGATTTTAAGAATAAGGTAATCAAAGTTGGTAACGAGGAGGTATTTCTTCATGCACATGATGACAACACTGTGCAAGCAGCCGTTAAAGAAGATACAGTCGTGCCTGCGAGAAGTGAAACGATCATAGTAGCGTGGTTAAACGGAATTGCGGACGAAGGGACACCTGTTATGATGGAGCCTTGGAACCATAATTACGATGTTGGCCGAGGAATCATAATTGGAAAGGAATTGGTGACTTCGGCTAAAGAAATACCTGTGAGACTTATTAATGTCAATGATTACCCAGTGACCATCAAGAAAGAGACAAAAGTAGAAACTTGTGTACCTGTGACATCCAATATCCGTCAGACAACATCTGATAATTCCAACGAGAAATTTCCAGTTGCTGGACAGTCTCTAAATCAGATTGAGAAAAGGAAATTACGGGAATTTTTTCGGCAGTATCGTGATATTTTCGTACCGAAAGGATTAAAGATGGGAAGAACTACCGTTGTTAAGCATAAAATTGATACTGGTAATGCTAAGTCAATTCGTCAAACAGTTCGACGATTACCACAGGCGAAAAGAGAGGAAGCTGAAACGATTGTTCAGGAAATGAAGAAAGACGGGGTGATAGAACCTTCTACGAGCCCATGGGTTTCTCCGGTGGTCCTGGTTACGAAGAAAGACGGAACGACGAGGTTCTGTGTGGATTACCGTTTGCTGAACAACGTTACCAAGAAAGATAGTTATCCTCTGCCTCGGATCGACGACACATTGGCTGGAAGTAAATTGTTTTCTACTTTGGATTTGAAGTCTGGATACTGGCAGGTAGAAATGGATCCAGCAGATAAAGAAAAGACAGCCTTCACCATAGGATCTGTATTGTGGTAATTCAACGTTATGCTATTTGGACTCTGTAATGCTTCTACGACATTTAAGAGGCTTATGGAAAATGTTTTGAGAGGGTTATCTTGGAAAACATGCCTGGTTTATCTAGATGACATAATCGTCTTGGGGGAGACATTTGAAGACCATCAGAAGAATTTAGAAAACGTTTTTAATTGACTTAAAGCTGCGCAATTGATGTTTAACCCCAAGAAGTGCCAGCTATTTCAAGGTAAAGTAAATTATTTGGGTCATATAGTCAGTAAAAAAGGAAAGCTTTTGGAAGAGTTGCATACTCGTTCAGGGTAACGGCATCCTCGTTTTGTAGTTATTCGTTTCGTCCCGGGATCGTCAGATAAATTCGTCTAATTGAAGTTTACAATATTATTCGGCAGTATACCTTCTAGTTCTGCACCCAGATGATCAAAATACACATTTAAAGTCTCGGGTAAAACCACTGCTCGAGATCGTTTAATGTTTTGACAAAGCCGTGTTCGTAGTCGTGTCTTATGTCGCTTCAAAAACTTATGTACAAAATCTTGTCCCGGTAAGTTGTTGTTAAACTTGGGTACATTTTTTATCCCGACTATCTAGGTAAGTTTTTACCATTACTGTAAGATTGTATTTATCTAAGGGATAGTTTCAGTATAACTTCCACTTCCAACTTTGTTAGTGTAATTTGTCCTCCAGGTGTTTTTAAGTTGTGGTTTTTGTGGTGCCTATAGACTACTATTGAGCACTGAATAGTTGATTTCATGTACTTTGCTTGCCTCCCTATAGGACATTCTAGGTAACTACCTAGTTATCCTAGTTATATAATATATTAACCTAGTTATATAATCTATTACCTAGTTATATAATATATAGTAGGTAACTACTTACTCTAGGACTATCTAGGTAAGTTTTTATCATTACTGTAAGATCGTATTTATCTAATGGAAAGTTTCAGTATAACTTCCTCTTCCAACTTTGTTAGTGTAGTTTGTCCTCCAGGTGTTTTTAAGTTGGTGTTTTTGTGGTGTCTATAGACTACTATTGAGCACTAAATTGTTGATTTCATGTACTTTGCTTGCCTCCCTATAGGACATTCAATTTCTTATGCAGTTTAAGGCCCTTTCAAGAGCCTCTCGATTGTTTTTTTTGTGAAACTTGGACCTTGAATTATGTACATAGTCTCGTGGCATGGTTAATCTGAAAGCAAAATAAAAAATACTGGAAAAAAAAGAAAGCAGGTGAGTGGAAACACAACAGTGGGTGAAAAGAAAAACCACGGGTGATTAGAAACTGCGGGTCAATAGAAACAGAATTGGGGTTAGGTTTTTACAAAACAACATACAAATCAAGTTACTGGTATGTTAAGATAAATTTGCCAAGTATTTATGTGAAGTGTACACCCTAAGCTATATTATGTCTAATTATTATTGTCTATTTATTTAATTATTTTTTTTTACCTGGTTACAAAAAGTTAATCAATTAAAAAGTTAAAAGTTAAAAAATTATACATATTTCTATTAGAAATTTCTTATGCTAAATTTATTAAAATTATTTGTAAAATACAGTGGTATGGGAAGAGTAAAGCATGTATAATATTAACAGTACGTTTTTATTTTTTTTTTACTTTTGACCAAATTTTGTGTCCGTTATATCCGAAGTCCGTTAAACAGTGGTCCGTTATATTGAGGTTTTACTGTACTTATTTAATTTTTCTCTTCAGGGTTTTTCAATTGTGCTATTGTACTGTGTCTATTTTCTTCTGTGTCACTTCTGCTGTTTTAACTTTCAGAATATGTTTAGTCTAAAATTCATTATAATGGATTGTGATCACTATGAATATCTGCTCCAGGCTATGTTTTAGTAGATTTTAGATACTTCTTAAAAGTTGTGGTGGAATAAAATGAAGTAAATTTGATTTCTAAAAATGTTACCTTTTCCCTCTGCAGATAGGTAGAATTACATCGACACTAAAAAAATAATGAGCCACAAGAAAAATAAAGTAACAAAGCCTTTGTTATAAATAAATCATTTTATTTAAACTGTTCTAAATAAACATTTAAAAGTGATACATCAACTATCACAAGTATAATTGAATTGAAACCAAAGATTTGTAGACAAGAAAAGTATATATATAATTTGAAATTTATCATAATGTAAAGAAATCGTTATTCCGCCTCTACGTTCCGATCTCATACAAAAAAACGCAAAGTCGAGTAATAATTTCTATGCCCTATTGTAGAACCAGTCCTATGTTGCACGGCATCATACTAGGGCACTTCCAGTTGTATAAATAGTACTGCAACTTCCCGTCGCCTAGCCCGAACTTCAATTGCAACAAAAACTCGGAATTTTCCATCAGGTCTAAGGCATTGTAAACGTCAAAACTGAGTTGTTTGGCTGAAATTAAGGCATCTGTCATCAGAGGCACCCAGGATGTGCCTTTGGATACGTTGTAGAACGAGTACGCGGCCTTCAGATTCTTGTGAACAGGGTGATGCATTACCGTCGACGGCAAAGTGTAATAACTGACGAAATCCGTAATTTCTCCGTTGTTTTCCACTATGAAACTGTCGATTATGTTCGTTCTAGGTAGGAACCAATGCGTGAACTCCTCTTCGTTAAAATATGGCGCTAGGTCGAATCGACTTAAATACTAGAACAGAAAAATTACATAAACTGCTAAATATTATAAGAACTATTCAAAAAATACGAGGGGTGACTATATAGTACTTAGAATCACTGCTCGATGGCGCCACTATCGCAAGAGAAATTTAATATCGTGTAGTACATGCTCGTACAAGAGCAAGTTAAATAACCACAACGACCGCATTTACATAACCAATGACCTAATAATAAAAGATAAAGAAATACAGAAACAAATAAGAAAGGTGGCGAAAGAAGAAAAGGGAAAATGGCAAGAATAGGATACAAAAAGTTAACAGTAGACGGTCGAGAATGGAGATGGGATAAAAAGAAGGAGCAGCTATACCAAATTCAAAAAGAGGGAAGCTGCACGAGGGGGGGGGTCGAAAAACTAATAAATAATAAGTAACCAAGGAAAGATTGAAAGTGGAAACACGTATTAAGGAAAGAATATATATTATGTAACACTTTGATGATGACGATGATGATCATAGTTTGTTGTTTTAAGTTTAATTTAATAAAAATATAAATTTTATATTAAGACAAAAAAAATCGCAGCGGACTGGATTCGAAACTGCGTGAATATAAAGTCACTCTGGTTATCCACTGATTATGATAGTTTATAATAAGATTAATGAGTTTGCGGAATTATCGGTGTTACCATCACGGGAGTCATTCAAGGGCGGGTAAAAATCTTTATCATGAATATTATCATTGTCAAAAACAGACACTTTATTTCTGTCTGTTTTGATGTCAGGTCAGAAGTACACTAGATCATACTTTATATTTACTTGGATTAAATGCAAAAAGTTAATTATTTTAAAAACTTAATGACTGACAACAAAGTTACTAGTTTAATAATAAATATGCAATTATTAGGTCTCTAGACTCCTAACTACAAACAAATTACCCGGATCAGACAACCTACCAGCAGAAATATTTAAATTTAGTAGTCGAACTTTTGTAAACCTAATTCACAACATATTGACACAGCTATGGCAAAAACCCACTCTATCCAAAAAATGGAATACATGATTTATACACCCTATACACAAAAAAGAAAACGTGCTTGATTGTTCCAACTTCAAACAGGAGTAATATGTCAAGTGCAACAAACTGTAAACTTTGTAAAACAATAATAAGCCCCCTTACGGATCAAAAACAAGGAGAAGTTGATACGACTATTAAAACAAGACTGAGGGCCATGAGGTGAGTGGGCCACGTGATGCCCACTCACTCAAACTAAATTTAACTGTATCGAAAAGTAACTTACCTCTACCAGTAATTTGTGAGCTTGAGGTATATCTTCGGCTGTCATTTTCCTAAATCCCGGAGTTTTAGGCTTGTCCGGCAGTTTGTACAACTTCAGAGTCCGTTGCAGCGTCATATTACGAGATAAATGAGAAAACTTCACCTCGATTAATTTTTTCGGATTCAGCGATCGATGCCAGTAGGTACAAGTACTAACCGGTTTCGGTAGGACTATGCCGGCGGTGTAAACTGCTTGAAAGAGGCCATTTAGGTGTACTCTGCGGGTGATTTCTCGAATCAACACGGGCGCGACTCGTTTGGAACGTAGTTTTTTATGTACACACAGAAAATTTATTTCCACCATTCTTTGTGTCCTAAAAAAATATGGAAATAAATATTTATACGCTAATTGTGCAATAATGATTGACTTATAACACAAGTACGGTGCTAAAACGAAAAACGTTTTGTTCTTCGCTCGTATTAGCCGTCCATTAGAATACAAATTAAAACATCATAAATTATTAATACGAGAGACGTCCAAAAAATACACGGACAAAGTTTGTGTAATGCTAATAATGGTAAAGACAATTGTTGAAAATTTGTGGTACTCACTTTTTATAAATGTTTAATGTTGCTGGAATTGCGGAGATAAATCCAACTAATCTACCACTTTTTACAACTCTGACTCCGCAATGCCACTCTCGCTTCCATCCCGGCGGTTGTAAAGCCCTAAAAACATCATGAGAGATAAATAAAAACCAATAATTTTTTTCATATTTTAAGCCCGCTAAAATTCAATATTACGAAACTTGAAGTTGACTATATTCAAGGTGGTCCCTAAGTAATTGTATAAAAAGAAACCGTAGATTCTACACTTTAAAATATTACGATTTAAGCCAAATTGCTTTAATAAAATGTTGATATTAAAAAAGATACAGGGTGTTAAAGTGGAAATTTAAAATTTTAATTTTCGCTATAACTTTCATGTTTGTAAACATTTATGTATAAAAATTCATAATTGAGTACTATTGAATGGTACTAAACCATTTTAAACATGAATTTTAAATAAACGTATAGTTTGGAACTACTGGTAATTATTTTTTACGGACATGCAAATTACCTTGTAATTTGAATGGTGACATTTATTTACATTTTTTATAAAATTATTTTATTGATTTATGGGAAGAATTGTCATCAAACTTAAGGCGAAATATGTAGTTTATGCAAGATGGTACACCACCACATTACAGAGACAGTGCAGTGAGAACATACTTAAATACTACTTTCCTAAACGTTGGATTGTTCGAGGTAGTCATATTCCTTGTTCATGTGGTGAAATATTAATATAATTACTAAATGCATGAAAATACCAAAAAGACTTATTATTATACCTATAATAAATACTGCACCAGTTTCTTTAGAACCAATGATGCTATTTAATATGAGACATTCTTTTATGGAACGTATTGACAAATGAATTAAAACTAACTTTGACAAAAAGTTTAATATTATTTAGTTTAACTATTTCTTAATTTGGTTTGTAAATAAAATATTTTGATTATGACTTTAATTTTATACAAAACCTACAATGTTTTATGTAAAATCCAATTATTATGTTATTTTGTCAAATCCTACTATTAACTATTCTGCTGATATATTTATTTTATTTAATATTTCGTTAACTATTAACTTTATTAAAGGTATCTTATACCAAAATTCAGAAGTATTGATGGTTTTGCCCAATTTTCTTTTGTTGCCTGAAGTAATTGTGTTAAATCAGAATTATGTAGTTGATTTGTAAAATGTGATTATTTCGAAAACTGTTGAGTTTTGAAGTTATTAACACGTATGCCTTTTTTCTTAAAATAATGTATCTTTAATATTTTTTATCACAAACACCGGTAACTTAAAGAGCAAAAAAGTTAATTACAAATGTATGCCACATAATGTGGCATATGTGGCGACCTCTATCAGCTACATTGAAGTATGCATCAAATTATAATTCCTGATGTTCTATAGTACCCAGTTATGAATTTTTTACATAAATGCTCACAAACATGAAAGTAAAGTTTTATCTACGTTTTTTTTGCACAATTACTTAAGGACTCATCCTGTATATACATCCTGTATATACAGGGTGAGTTTTTAGTGTGACATTGATCGATAATTCCATTCTGGTACAGAATATCCAAAAAAGGATTGGATAATATGCTGAATACTACAAGGTGATTAATAACTACGTGGTAAAGCAATCATACAATTTTTTAATGTTTTCTGTGTGTTTTCTCATATCTAGATCCCTCTCATAATCTCTCTTCTTACAATATGGAATTTGATACTACTATACAGGGTATTTAACGAGTAATGACCATTTTTATTTCCACATTGCTATGAAATAAACACACAACATAAAGAAGGAATACATAAATGTGTTCATTTTACATAATAAGGTAAACAATGTGTTCTACTTTCCAAAATAATTGACGAATATTCGTATACAGAGTGAATAACAAAAGAAAATGATGATTTTCTCACATTTTTTTAACATAAAACCCTATATTTAATTTTTTCAAAAGATTGCATTTATGATACTTGTTTATAAAACATTTCCTATATCTATACTCATTATTTTCCGAGATATTTTTAGTTTTCCTCAAATTTCGGGAATATCATAACTTAGTCTGGTGTACTAATATAACAAAATTATTTTTGTTCAATAAATAACTAATACAAAACATAAACCATAACAATATGCAAATAATGTAATAATTAATGGGATATTAAGTAAATAGTAAATGTTCAAAATGTCCCCCTCCAACGTCTATGCAAGTTTGTAATCAATATTCAACTGACAGAGCCACGTTTTGTAAGTCAATATTATTAAAAGCTTTTCTTATTCTATTTTTCACATCATCTGGCAATTTTGCAAGCTTCTGGTACACAAAGTGTTCTGGACTGGTTTGTCTAACCTTGTTTATGGCGATTTCTTTCTCTTGGCTCTTCTCTGAACTCTTTTACAAGTTCAGCATATGGCTTATCCTTCGGTTTTGAGATGATTACCATCCATTTCTTTTCTGTGGCTACTATTTGCCTTTCTTTACACGTTTTGTCGTATATCTTTGCCGTTACCTTCTTTCCTCTTACTGCCCAGTCTAGTACTTTTCTTGATTTTTCTCTATCCATTCCTTTCATACTGTCGAATAACTTCCTGGCTGCTGTCAGAAATGAAACAGCCATTGGCTCTTCTACTCTCCTTTGTTTCCTTGTGGAGAAATTTTTTTGATGTCCTCTCCGATTTTCCTCTACTATACATGATATTTGAGACATAGTCATAGACATACATCTTCATTTTTATCTTCTTTCAAGAATTCAAGAATAATCCGGGAGGTCTGAGTACCTTGCACTAAAATCCCCCTTCACTCTTGCGCCAACAGCATCATCTGTTACCAATATTGACACATCAGGATAAATCGCTTAAGACAATACTATAAGCGCTGCATTAACAACTAAAAAACAATGTTTTAAAATCAAATAAGCCCAAAATACTTATCGGAAACTGAGATAACAAAGTTTAAACAGTTTTAGGCATTTTTACTTGTGTTTTTAAGTCTTAAAAATGGTTATTTTTCGCTTTTTTATGTTTCAAATTAGTTATAACTCGAAAACGATCAACTTTAACCAAAAATTGCAAAAGACCTTTTTGCCTTGTCTATATTTTGCTGAATTTCAAATCAAAATCCAATTCTATTTCTGTTATAAGTTGATTTGTTATTTATTTATATTCCCTCTAAGGAATTTTTTTAGTTCTTCAAAGGTTTTTTTATGAACAAACTTTATGCAATGTAAATAGTTAAAAACATTTCTAAATATTTTACATTTTAATACAGCAATTTTTTCGATAGCGAAGACAAAGTCGTTTTAATTATAATTTTATTATGACAACATCTTTCTGTCTGAGAGATAAGATAAATGCGTCGCGATGACTAAGGAATGTAGGAAAGGAATGCTTACGTAGATAAATATAATAAGTGTTTATTGGAAATACTCGACATCATTATAAGCTGTACTTTATACTAGGTGCAAATCCGACCCTGTCGCGAAATTCAGTATGAAATTAAAATAGCTCATGTTTTTAGAATTCATTAAGAACATTTTAAGGAATAGAAAAAGACTCCAATATGAGAAGGGATATTTGTAGAATTTGTAGTCCTAAATAAAGGTAAAAGATATGCCCATAAAATACAGAAATGGAGTACCAAAACGTTTCAACAGCGCAGTACGATTTTGTCGAACGCAATTGCAGTACAATACTGTTGAAAATCGGATGGGAACACACACGTACCGATTTTGCAGTATGAGTTTTACTTTCAAATCAGAAACATGTCAGATAACGATATACTTTTAGCGGCTCTTGCTCCTTGTTTAAACGAAACAATACAAGAAACGTAGGTGGTGGTGCAAAGATTGGTTGCTGAAAAGACATACATACTATTATGTATATTAGAAGAATTGCTTTTATATCTAGATAATTTTAGTTCCCTTTTGTAACATTTTTGAAAATTATTAATTTTCTTTTTTACCAACTCTTCATTAGTATCCGCTTTCACTTCTTGAAATTTAGCAACCAAAACATTCTAACCTTTTTTCTAGCGGTTTTATCATGATATGATGTCGATTTTATTTTTCAGACACTCTGTTCTTTATAAATGTCAAAGAAATCTCTTAAAAACCTCTAGCTTATAAGCCGTTTTCGAAATTTACCAGCAAATGATTTTTTCTGGTAGTCGTATGATTTTGTCGTTACAATATAGGTACACGATCAAATTTACGACCCAACCAACTCTGTCCGTTGTTTGGGTTGGAATTAGTAAAACGAAAAATCCATAGAATGAAATTATGAACAATACTATATGTCAGAAACCAGATCAAGGAAGTTTGGTTACGCCGATGACTGCGTCCTTGCAACAAGGTGTAAGTCAATTGAACAAACAGAAGAAATCCTTACGGCAGACTTACAGACAGTGGGAAATTATTTCCGTAAATGGAGGCTCCAACCAAACGCTACCAAAACAGAGGTTTCCAGTTTTCACCTAACTAACAAGCTTGCAGGAAGAATACTGAACGTCCAATTCGAAAACACCACACTGGCCTACAATCCTTGGGGTGACTCTTGATAGAACTCTATCTTTCAAGGAACATCTGTCAAAAACAGCGCAAAAACTTAAATCCAGAAACAACATCATCCAGAAGCTGTGCGGCACAACATGGGGAGCATCGGCTTCCACCTTGCGATCATCTGCCCTGGGCCTTGTTTTCTCAACCGCGGAATACTGCCCTTCAGCCTGGCTTAACAGCCCACATACACACAAAGTAGATGCCCAATTGAATAACACAATGAGAATGATTGCAGGTGTTATCAAATGCACCCCTACGCAATGGCTCCCAGTCCTGAGCCACATTCCACCACCCAGACTACGGCGTATACACTCCCTCACTAGTGAGTACCAAAAGATACTTAGCAACGAGACCCTGCAAATTCATCAAGATATAGATGCTGCCAACGGTAACCGTTTGCGCTCCAGGCGACCGCCAATAAAAACAGCACAGATTGCAGTGGAAAATGAGTTCAACTTAACGACCACTTGGACTCTAGAATGGATGGAACAACAAAATAGCAGCTTACCTTGCATCACACAAAAACCACCAGGTTTTGACTTACCACGCAACAC